GGAAACAACCCAGCATGTTCCAGGAACGGCAGGAGTCCGAGGCCTGGGACAGAATGTGCACAGGGAGGAAGGGTGGGCCGGGTGCTGGAGGAGCAGCCAGGCCCGGGTCTCTGGGTAAGGACCCTGGGTTTATTCTGTGTGTGTCATGGTCTGACTTACATTGAAACCAACATTCCGTCTCTTACAATAGCCATGTTCCCAGTAGGCCAGGGCTCACAGAGGTCAAATGACATTTCCACTGAGTCCAACCCACCGGGAGCTCCCACGAGTCCACAATCTCACCCCTTCCCACAGGGCTCCCCTTTAGACCCGGGGCTTCACCTGATGCTCTGAAGTGGGAGGTGTCATCTATGTCCATCACCTGCCTCCCCAGTCATGCCAGGGCCAGAGCTTGTTTTTCCTGTTCTCTGATGTGTCCTCGTGGCCTGGGCCTAGTAGGTGCTTGACACTATTTATGGAATGAATGAATGAATGCATGAATGACCAGCTTTGCCTCTAAGGGCTGTGGTGAGCTTCACAGGAGACAATGAATAGAAGCACCTAGCCTAGAGGCCTGGCACATAGCAAATGCCCAGTAAGTGTTGGCTGCTGGTATTTACTGCCATTATCTGTTTGATTTTAAAACTTATGCTCTAGCTATCTGTGCCAAATTCCACCCACCAACCCCTGGTTTCTTGACCTTTACAGAGGCTGCGAAACCAGGGGTGAGTCAGGCCTTGAGTTGGGGCCACGGCTGCACTGAAGGGCAGGCGGGTCAGCGCAGAACTGCACGCGTATATCCAGCCTCGTCCATCGCCTACAGACTATAAAGACTCCTGGTCTCCAGCGAGCCTTGAGCTGGGCGGGGGTGGCAATGACAGGGGTGGGAAGGTGGGGTGGTGGGGACAGGACCACAACTCTTGCGCAGCTCTGGTACCCCAGGGGTGTTCCTCCCAATGGCCACTGGGTGGCAGCACGTCCCCAGGAATGTGGGGTTGAGGGGCAAGCTTTTCCCATTGAATCTGAGGTCCAGGNTGGCCCCGACAGGACCCTGCCCTCAGGACTTGCAGTTCGAAGGGGAGACAGACAAGAAGCAGATCCCAAACTGTGCTGGGAGCCGGGGGATGATCGGGTGTTGAGACAGAGACCGGCCGAGCTGGGCCAGAGCTGGGTGCCCAGGGAGGGCTTCCCTGAGGAGGCAACATGTGAGTAGAAGGGAGGAAAAGTGAGGGAGGGAGCAGACCTGGGGGAAGGACACTGTGGGCAGAGGAAGCTGCCAGAGGAAAGGCCCGGCGGTGGAAACAACCCAGCATGTTCCAGGAACGGCAGGAGTCCGAGGCCTGGGACAGAATGTGCACAGGGAGGAAGGGTGGGCCGGGTGCTGGAGGAGCAGCCAGGCCCGGGTCTCTGGGTAAGGACCCTGGGTTTATTCTGTGTGTGTCATGGTCTGACTTACATTGAAACCAACATTCCGTCTCTTACAATAGCCATGTTCCCAGTAGGCCAGGGCTCACAGAGGTCAAATGACATTTCCACTGAGTCCAACCCACCGGGAGCTCCCACGAGTCCACAATCTCACCCCTTCCCACAGGGCTCCCCTTTAGACCCGGGGCTTCACCTGATGCTCTGAAGTGGGAGGTGTCATCTATGTCCATCACCTGCCTCCCCAGTCATGCCAGGGCCAGAGCTTGTTTTTCCTGTTCTCTGATGTGTCCTCGTGGCCTGGGCCTAGTAGGTGCTTGACACTATTTATGGAATGAATGAATGAATGCATGAATGACCAGCTTTGCCTCTAAGGGCTGTGGTGAGCTTCACAGGAGACAATGAATAGAAGCACCTAGCCTAGAGGCCTGGCACATAGCAAATGCCCAGTAAGTGTTGGCTGCTGGTATTTACTGCCATTATCTGTTTGATTTTAAAACTTATGCTCTAGCTATCTGTGCCAAATTCCACCCACCAACCCCTGGTTTCTTGACCTTTACAGAGGCTGCGAAACCAGGGGTGAGTCAGGCCTTGAGTTGGGGCCACGGCAGCTCTGGTACCCCAGGGGTGTTCCTCCCAATGGCCACTGGGTGGCAGCACGTCCCCAGGAATGTGGGGTTGAGGGGCAAGCTTTTCCCATTGAATCTGAGGTCCAGGAACTGATGGAGGAATCATGGAGGAACCCAGGCCCAGAGAGGGGTTGGGACTTGCTCAGGGTCACACAGCTTTCAGTGGCAGGGCCGGGCCAGGTGAGCGGTCACCTGCCTGCCTGGATAGACTCAGGAGCAGAGCAGGGGAAGAGGGGGAAGAGCGAGCTTGGAGAGTGAGGGTCTGAGGACCAGGCCTGGCTCAGCCTCCCCAAAGTGGGTGGATGTTCTCACCCCAATTTCAATGTCTAGAATCCTACCCATTTTGAAGAAGGTGCTCAAACCTCCCCTCTGAGGCCCTTGTTCACCCCTCTCACCTGTGACTCTGGTAAAGGTGGCAATTCTCCCCATGCTCCCACTAGGACTTGGATGGTGACCTCATCACCCCTCTCACTGCTCCCACTATCTGTCTTCACCCCCCTCCCCCACCACAGTGATTTCCTGAGGACAGGGACTTGTACCCCCCTCTGCCTGTACTACCTGTGCCCTCTCCCTGTGTCACCCTGCCCCTCTTCATGGCCTGGGTACCACCAGCACCTCCTTCAGAACTCAGCTGAAATGTCACTTCCTCCAGGAAGCCTTCCCGGCCTTTGGCTCCTGCGGATGGTGAGGCCTCTGGGGCAGGGCTTGTTGGTGGACCGAAGGGACCCACCCGAGTGTGCACAGACACTGTGCGTCCTGTGCCTCTGATGCAGTGTCCATCATAGTCCACACTGAAGCTGCCCATGAAGCTTTGTGAAAATGCAGCCTTCAAGATCCCCTTTCCCCTCAGACTCTATCCCATAGGTCTGCGACAGAGCCCAGGACTCTGCGCAGAGGACACTTCCCTGGTGAGTCTGATGCAGGGGCCTGAGCATCTGGAGGCCCTTTAAGTGTGCCATTGGCCCCGCCCTCTGAAGCAGTTGGGCAAAAAGATTATAATCAGGAGTGATAATAAAAACCTCTGACATCTGTGCCAAGTGAGTTGCTCACGAAGCACTTTCACACCCACTTCCTTTAACCTTCATCTTCATAACTTGTATCTTGGGAGGGATCACCACCCCCATTTTACAGATACCCAAGGCTCAGGAGCAAAGGGCAATTTGCTCAAATCCCCCAACTACAAACTAGCAGGGCTGGGATCTGGTCTGGGGTCATCCTGGGGTAGCAGAGCTGCAGGCCTGTGCTAAAGCTCCTAGGTTTAGAAATTGCTGTTTGCTGAAAACTGGAATTCCCAAACTTAGGACCTATACTTGGTTTGGTTTCCCAGGGATCTGGTGATCCCTGTGGAGGAAGCTCAGGCTGCTGCTACTGTCCAGGTTCAGGCTTCATCATCTTGGTCTCTCTCTGCCCATCCAAGTCGTCTCCTCCAGGACGCAGAGTACGTTCCATTCCATATAAAGCCACAGCTATTTCTATGTACTTCCTCCTCAGCCAGATATTCTGCCAAGTTCTGTGGGTGATACAAAGAACAAGACCTGCCGCCAGGGGCTTCCTGTCCAGTTGAAGAGACAAGAAATGCTTACTTTGGTGATGAAACAAGTTACTTGACTTTATTTCCCCTCAAATAAATTCATGGTCCCAACCTCACCCTCTTAATTGGCTGGAACAGGTTCCATGCTATGTGGGCTGACCCAGGAGGCCCCCTCCACTGACAAATATAAAGAGGGTCATAATATTTTCAGTCTAACAGTCATTAAAAAGCAATCTAATTTTCTTTTTCTTGTTTGTCACAGTGACACCTGTTGACGGATTCCTAACGTCCTATGGAAGGGATTATAAAGCCAGTACAGAAGAAGAGGGGAGACAGGGTCATGGTGAACTTTAAAATCCTGTGAAAGTGACTGGAACGGCAGAGCAGTGGGTATGTGGGAAGGCCGTTGCTACTGTGGCATTCTGCACATCTGCTGTGACTCAGATTAGCCCCCTAAGGAGGGGTGGGGCTCCCATCGAGCTGCAGATGTTCACATAATCATCTCTCGGGATCTCTCCTGCCGCCTGAGCCCCTGGGGGCAGCTAGGGAAGGAAGCTGGGCAGGCCTGGGCCCACGTGTCCTGGGTGAGGTGGGTGCCAGGGCTGTGGCTCTGGGAGCACCAGCTCCTCCGGGGAACAGTGGCTGGTGGGGAGACGATTGAGACTCCTTGGCTGGGAAACACTAACAGCATTTCCTGCCCCTCAGTGGGACTCCAGGGGAGCTGTTCCTCAGGACTAACAAAGGAGATGGGGTGCGAGGCATCTTTCACCAAATACCACAGAAAGCATCTGCTTCGGTGCTCAGTTTGCATGTGGGGAAAGGCGGCACCTAACGGGAAGGGAACTTGTCCAATTTGTCCATAGCAGACCCACTGAATACAGGTGTGCGGGTGTTAAAAGGGCACCGGGAGCGGCGGCAGTCTCAAAGTCAGGATCTGAATCTTATACCAGATCTTGGATGGCGGCTCTGGACCCAAATCCCCTCCGCTCGCTGGCACCTAGTTTCCTGGTTCGCAAAACCGGGGTTAGGCTGCCTCGCACACTGTCATTGTCGTGGAGGAGTCACACGCCCTGCGCCTGGGTGCTGAAAACTGAAGGGGTCTGCAGGTCACTGGACTTCGCGGGAAGTCCCCACCCCAGGATGCTTCTGTTGCCACGGCAACCGGCCGGCCGGCGTTGCGCCGGCGTCGCGCTGAGGAAGCTGGGAAGAACCCTGCCCTCACCAAGATGGCGGCGGCCACAGGGCAGGGGGCGGGGCTGAGCGCCGCCGGCCGGCCCTGTCCTCGTCTCTGTTTCCGCTTTCTCCCGCCTCAGTCAATACTGTTCTCACTCCGGGCTCTGCGAGCCCCGGGAGCCGGGGAGGGAAGGGTTGCCTGCCGGGATTGGGGCAAATACCCGAGGGGGAGGCATGACTTCCGCGTCCCGCCGGAAGTGACGCGACAGTCGCGGCGGCCGACAGGTGGAACGGCAGGTGGGTTCAGGTGCCAGCCTGGCCCGGGCCCGACTGTGGACCGACGCTTCCGGTGAGCGACAGAGGCAGGTCCCCAGGGCCTGGAGACCCGTGGGGCGGGCTCTGGGGTGTGAGCGCCCGCCCTGGCCTGGAGACCTCCCCTGTACCTCGTAAGAATCCCCTCCCCACCCCCGGGACCCGCCGCCGTCCCGAGGCGAGGGGAGGCCGGGATCGCCAGGGTTGGGGTTGGCGTCTAGGCACCGGTTCCCTGAGCCCTACGCTCCTTTCTCTCCCAGACCCAGTTCTCTGTTACCCTGCCGAGCTGGCCAGTAAACCGGCCCACCTCAGCCCTCAGAACCATGTTTGCAGACTTGGATTATGAAATCGAAGAGGATAAGCTGTGAGTATTTTGTTCCCCCAAGTACCGAAAGTGCAGGCGCCCCAGGTCCCCCAGGTCCCCCAGATCCCCTCACTTCCCAGTTCCACCGACCCTTGCTTCTCAGCGATGGGTAAGACCTTGTACTGTAGCAGAATGGCCCCTTCCCTTCCCGGAGCTCAGCTCCTGTAGGGGGCGGCGGGCTCATTAGCAGGTCGTTACAGGTCATTACAGTTCAGGGCCACATGGGCCCTGATGGAGACTGACCTGGCTGCAGGGAGAGCAGAGCGGGTGGAGCAGGGGTGTTCAGGGAAGGCTTCACAGAGGAGATGGCAACTGAGCCAGGTTTGGAAGGATGAGTAGGAATATCATAAATGCACTGCCCACCCCAATGTAGACAATTAGTGGGACAGGTTTTCAAATATTAAGTTCATCTCCTTATTAGACTCTGTCCTCCCTCAGATCAAGGACTGGTGCAGTGCCTTTTTGTGTCCTCAGCACTTTGCAAGGTGTTCCACGTCAGTAGTTGTTAGCAAATATTTGTTGATTGAATAAATGAGGATATTTACAAGCACAAATAAACATTAATAAGTGCCAATTTATAGTGAAAACTGAGAGGTAATTGAATAGAGCAATTGAGAGACGGGTGATGGATAGTTTAACAGAAGTCTTCCCAGAGGAGGTGACCACCATGTTCCATATGTACCTGAGAAGGTGACAGGTCCAGCTCAAACCTCAGAGGCAGAATGAAGCAAAGGGAAGGGGAACCTATTTTTATGCAGTGCTTGCTGTGGGCTGGGTTGGTGTTAAATGCTTTCTGTGCACTTTCTTACAAGAACTTTGGTAATGTAGCCATTTTATTCATACTAGTTTATGGATGAGGAAACTGAGAGGCAGAGAAGCAGGAAAGTGACCCAAGTCCATAGCTGATTCATGGCAGTGCTGGGAGGTGATTCCCGCATCCACATGACTCTAAGAGCTGTGCACATTCCAGCACAAAAGGCTGTCCCTTTGGCCAGATGTGAAAGAAAAGGCTATGCAGCATTTGGAGCCTCTTGGGTTTTAGAAGGTCTGTCCCCTCCCTGTCCCTTCTAGTCATCTTTCCTCCGGGAGACTCAGCCTCATGTGTTTCTCTTTCTAGCGGAATCCCTACTGTGCCTGGGAAGGTCACCCTGCAGAAGGATGCTCAGAACCTGATTGGGATCAGCATTGGAGGAGGGGCCCAGTACTGTCCCTGCCTCTATATTGTCCAGGTACTGGATGCTTTGGAGGTGGGGGTGGGGTCCTGGA